GGATTGTTGGAAACAACAAGGGGGAGGGTTGTACAACCGGTCAGCAGCGACAGAGAGTGGTAATGACGGTTGGAATGGCTATGGATTGCTGGAGACAGCAAGGGAAAGGACTAGAAAACAAGTAGGTAGCGGCAGAGGGCAGTTGAGAAGACTGCGACAGAGAGGGAGGAGAGCTCGAGAAGGTGGAAATAAGTGAAGTTGCAGAAAAACAGTCCAAAAGGGCAGTTCGGCGGCTTTAGCAGGGAGGAAGGAATAGATGGCTACAGAGGAGTGAAGGTTGCTGCGGAAGAGGATGTAAAGGATAATCACCACCACAGAATGAGATACAGTTGGAGGACCAATCTCTCTTGGATAAAACCTAGAAGAGAAAAGTTGGAGATGTTAATGGCTATCGTGATAGAAAACTCACAAAATTGGAAATCCAAACCCTAACACAACACATATAAGAAAGGACTAGAAAAGAGCAGGAAAGGTAAGAAGGACATTTGCTAAAGAAATAAAGGAAAGTAAATAAATATGGATCGTGTTTGGCCTGCCTCCTGCAATCGTTAATCCCGCAATCAGTCGCATACTGCAACAGAAATCGCGACACTGTATCAGACACAGAAAGTTCATGCTTGATAATGTGTCCATGCAGGAAGCTTCCACGCAATACTTTTGCAGCTTTCACAATTTATTATTTGATATATGTGTAATTTGCCACTTATTGCTATGTTAAAATGTTAATATGCCTTTTTTAATATATTTATATGTTAGGATGATAATATATTAATGCTTACATTTATTTTAACTCTGAATAATATTTTGATTGTTAAGCTTAGACCTTGCATCAAAGACAACAAATCCCTCAATACCCAATTGCACAATTTTAAACTCTAGAGCAGTCCAAAAAATAGAAAATATCCTATTGCAAAAAAATAGTGAAAACAAATGTGCATCAAGCAGTAATCATAATATAATCTCAAATTTTTTGTTTTATTGTGTTAGTTTTTTCCCATTTATAAAATCTTTTAACTGATTTGAATTATAATTTGGCACAAAGAGCTCAATGTCAGTGTTGAAATGTTCACTAATGCTATCTCTCAATCACACAATAGAAAATCAATGCATAGCTTAGGAAGCTTATCCTTAAATCTTTTAGAAGATAAGAACTGAATGCCACATGATGTTATAGTTATTCATAACATGTAAAAACTCTCTCCCTCTGAAAGATAGAAGAATAGATACACATGTTCTCTAATACCAGGGTTTTGTCTTTGAAGAAAATTTCTCTTTTATGATCATCGAATAAAAATGAGAGAATTGAGCTAAGTTTAATATTTGTTAATAATCCAGATCAATTCAATAGCATAAAAAATGCTCCTAAATCCTAAGGGTCCCCGCATGCCCACGACCGTTCCAAATTCAACTTCAGGATTCCATACAATCATTAGTCAAACAATAGCAACTGCTATGATAAAAAAATGTTAATGGCCAATTATCATGTATATTGCAAAATTTTAAGAATTATCATGGAAATCAATAGTCGGGCCATAGAATGAAAAACTTAGTTTACAAATTACAACTTTAAATGCGAAGAAATGCATTCTTCAATTCACCTTTCATACCTCTCTCTCTCTCTCTCCACACACACACACACACACACACATAACGTAATTAAATGAAGAAGATAATGCACAATGACAAATCTCTCAACCCAATTAACAGATAACCAAATCACCAATTCAAAAACCTCAACATAATGTCCTTGGGCAGCATAGGTGAATTAGGAAAAACAATTGTCACAATGGTTAAAAAAAGATCAAGAAATCCATATTACAGCCATACAAAGCTCGATGTTGGCATTGGTGCTGCAAAGAAATGTTCTAGCCAAAAATCACATATTGTCCCTAATGCCATACAAAGCCTAGTGTTGTCCATCGAACTAATATAAATCTAAGGGATCCAAAAAACAATCTAGAAAAGCCAGTAGATCTCATGATAGCAAAAATGAATTATTTCAGCAAAGAGGAGAAAGGTATGGATGACCCTTTCATGAAATAATCATCATATTTTGTGTATTATTTATTTGTTCGTTTGCAATGAAGGTAATCATAGAAAGCTAGATTGGGTTGTTAATTTGTTCATATTTCATTGGTTTCATCAATTACCTGCCATGTTTTGTGGAAACTTATATTTATTTCTACAATGCAGATAATGAAGACAATGATAAGTTTTTCATTGGTTAGTTATTTATTTATCTATCTCTCAATCACATCGGTAAGTTTTTTCATAATTTACCTCCTACACTAAGATTAAATTTCTTCAAATTTTGTCGAGAAAGTCATCCACAAATAGACTGATATTTGATCAAAGCTTTAGGCACATTAATGCTAGTCATTGAGTTGGGCTGATGATTGGTTAGTTATTTCATAATTTATCTCCCACAACAACCACACAACAACAAGCCTTTATCCCGCTAAGCTAGGTTGGCTACATGAATCATTTTTCTCCATTGCATCCTATTGAGTGTCATATTTTCATTTAATTCTAATAAATTAAAATCATTTTTTATACAATATGCCCAAGTCTTTTTAGGTCTACATCTGCCTTTCTTAACGTTGAATCTAAAAAATCTACTCTCCTAATCAGATCATCAGATAATCAACGTTTGACCAAACCATCTAAGACGACTCTCTAATCTTGTCCGCCACCGGAGCTTCATCAACCTATCACGGATATAATCATTTCACATTTTGTCTCAAAGTGTTAAGCCACTCATCTACCTAAGCATTCTCATCTCAGTAAAACTTAACTTTGTTTATCTCCAACACAAAAGTTAAACTTTTTCGTATTGTTTGTCAAGAAAGTCATCCACAAATAGGCAATTAATTGCGATAAAGATGATGATGATGATAATTATATCGCCAATTGAGACACAAGGAAAAAAAAATTTGATACCAACACACTACAGAAAGTGTATTTTCATGGAACATAATTTGTGAAACACTTGGTCAAAGCTTTAGGTGCATTAATGCTAGTCATCGAGCTAGGATGATGAATCACTAAAGTTGATTTTGATCCGAACTACAAAAAAGTTTTTTGAAGCGCTTCTTGATGAACTAGCACTAGATGGAAAATCTCGAAAAGAGTAAGTTCTAGAGAAGTTAGAATGGATGCTTTTCGGAATTTGTTGTGGCCTTAAGAACCAAGCCCTTCTATTCTATGGATTGGTTGGCAATTACTTTACATTAACACCTATTAGGCATCATATATAATATAGTATCTCTCTTGTAGCCCGCATCAAAATAGTACTTCACCCATTGGCAACTTTACATAAAATAAAGTTTGTGCCTTCGGAAATAAAAACAAAAGGTAAATGCAATAGTCATCATTTTAGACACGTTTAGTTCCTTTTAAATAATAAAAAAAAAGAATTATGAATTATAGATCAAGCCATGTAAAATGTTCAACATGGAAAGCACAATAATACCAAGGCAAAAAATAATAGTGTTAAGACTATCAATGCCTTACACTTTATGTTTTAACTATTTGGCCTCTGTCTTAATAGATGTATAACAAAATGGTATGCCTCCACCAATCTCAATGTTCAAATAAAGGGCATAAAAAAAGCAATTCAAGATCATGCAAATTGATTATGATAATCAGACCAATAGGCATCATAACAGCAACTCCCCTTTCATTTTTAGCCATGGATAATCAACTACCTTTACAAAAGCTTCTCTTAAGGTAAGGTCAACCTTCATCTTCATCTTCTAAACTCTTTATGAGGTACTTCATAAATTATTATTTTCATTTATCTATTTAAGAGTTTTCTTTTCTATTTCTACAATACTAATTTTATCCACTAGTTTAATTAGTGTATTTCCTATCATTCATTTTAAAAGTTCAAACCACCTAAATTTATTTTCAACTATCTTATTTTCAAGAGATGTTACCCCAGTCATTCCTTCAAAATAATTCCTTAACTTATCCTTCCTAAATTTGTCATGCATCCATCTTAATATTATCATTTTTTCCATGATTGGGTTTAGGTCATGCATGTTTGTTTATATCAAATTATGGTTAGACCCGAACTTCACACTTCAGCCCAATTTCAAACTTTTGGCATTTAGTTAGATCAAAATGGAATGTAATATAAAGCTTTAGTGAATTCAAAACTATATTTTTTGTGCTGTATTTAAAAATTAGTCAATTTTGTCTATTGCATTTTGATTTTATTGTATTTTGTTTTCAACAATCAAATGGTCCCTTAAGATACAATTGGCAAAAGTTCCTGAATGCAATTGGAATTTCGTTGAACTTGATGGTATAGAGAAGCTTAAAAAGGTCATAATTTTGTTGAACTTGATGGATCCAAGATTTATTAAATAGGCTTAAAATTTTAACCTGAACTTGACCTTCCTTCAACCTGATTGACGTGAACCTGACTAGCATAACATATCTAAATTAAAACATAATAACAATTTGGGTCAAATTTGGGTTGGTGATTCAATCTTGAGTTGGTGGGTCAACTCAAACCCGACTCAAAAAAAATTTAAACGGGTCAAGAATATAGACCCATATCCAACCTAAAAGTTAAGTCAACCAACATGAGGATTTTTCAAGTCAGTTTTGGGTTGACTTGTCATGTTAGGTAAATTTTTGACATCTCTAATTTGCATTATCATAGTAATGCAAGCAACCAAATAGCCCTAAATTGTTTTTCCTTTCTGGCTCCTGCAAGTGTTGTGTGGTAAAGTTAGAAGTACAACTATAAATGAATACAATATAAGGGTGTAAGAAAGGGATTTATGAAGGATGTAAATCTCAAACACTTAAAGAAGTTAAATGTTCCAATGTCTATGGCATAAAACAAAATATGAGAAGTTGTATGCAAAAAATGTCTTAAAAAAAGTATAAGCTCTCTAAAAATGTACAAAATAGAGCCATATCGGGTTCAATAAAACATTTATAGATACACTACAATAAAATCTCTAAAAGATATGTTGCAAAAATACCTGTGGTGTTTTTTCATGCCGATTCCATCTTTCCATAAGGCTTATTATCCTGGTATGCAAATCATTCTAGTGTGAAAGGGTTGGAGAAATGTTAAATTTAATAAAAGATTGCCAATACTGAATCAACTGGTGGCTCCAAAAATGAAACAAAAACAAATCAAATGAGTAAATAAGAAAAAAACCATGCCTGTGAGATGTATCATTCATGTAAAATATCGGAGGGCTAGTATCCAAACAGACTGCGTGAAATTGATTGCTGTCTGCACATGTCAATCGGGCAAAAGATGAAAAATCTCGGTTCCTTATTGCTTCTTCCATTTGCAATATTCTTCTCGGAACTACAACCTGGAAAAGAGATGAGGTAGAATGAACTAAAAAGTTATTCTTTGGCATTGCAGTCTTACTCTTTAACTGTAAGTGATGCAACATCAGAATATAAGTATCCCAAATTAAAACTTTGAACTTCCCTATAAACTTTAAAACCTAAACCAATTTTAAAAGAACAGAATTACTTCTTTGAAAAAAAATATGTACAAAATATGAATCAATGACGCAGAAATAGGGTGATAAACTAAGTTCAACCGTTCAAACAATGGAAAATTTGAATACCATGTCTTTGAGATCAAGTTGAGACTTATCATAGTTAAATCCTATCAGATACATCATGTAAAACGCAATTAACAAAAATATTCAAGCTACTACAGATAGACATAAATAAAAAAGGCTGCATTGACATTTCAAGTTGACTTAAATCATATTAAATTCAGCCAATCGTGAGTTGAAATCTACTCAAAGTTGTCATGAATAGATGCCATGTACACATGAATCAGCTTGAAATGATCGAATCAATTTCAACAACAGAATTTCAAGATTGTTTTTATTTTTATTTTTGCCTATTATTATCAACCATTTGCAGAATAGAATTAAATAAAGAGCACAAATAAACCTTAGCCCTGTGTTGTATAAGCGAACTGCTCTCAACACTTTCACGCATGCCGGATGTACTACTGGTCTCTTTTTGCCTCGAACTTACCTGTGGGACACCAATATGAGAAAGTGAAAACAGCTCTAAATAATGTCCTTTGATACTGATGTAATTTGAAAGAAAAAGCTCTAGAATGGATGAAGAAAATCTCCAAAGATCCATCATTTAGTCAAATTAAAAAATTGATGTACCATACTGAAAAACAGTTATTAATGAACCTGTCATTTATAAAAAGAGCAGCCTGCACTGTGATTGGAAAGGATATTTAAGAAGTTGAGTGAGAGAAAACATAAAATGAAACTAGAAGCACTTGGCTTAAGTATGTGAAAGTGAAAGTGAAAGTGTATGAAAATCTGTATTTTACAAATGAGAAGCTGAACGGAATAAAATTTTTCATGAGAAATGAGTTGATATAAATATCAAAAACAAACATTTCATTTATTTTTATTAATAATTACTTAAAAGTCAAGTCGTGGAAACAACCAGTCATGTAAGGGTAAGTGGTGCACATCAAGCTTGGAGCTTTATGTAGTGGGTACTACTCTTAATCTACTTCACTGTCTCAAGACCTGGGAAATGACAGCAGGATTGAAGACAAAATGATGAAGGCATGTCCAACTAACCACACGATAAAATAAAAGAAATAAATGAACAGATGAGACACGGCCTCACAGAGAACGACAATCTGACACTTTCTACCTACATAGAAAATACCTTAGGAGGCGATTCGAGCATGACTTCTGCCCCAGACAGAATCTAGAAGTCTCAGGACTGGCCTAACTGATCCTTGCTTGGCCGGTACAGGAAATCAGCTCCCAAAAGAAGACCGAGCCCCCTTGGGTCTCTTATGTACCTTATTTGGTGTAGGATTAGAGTTTATTTTTTCTTCCTAGTAATAATATGTTTTTTTTCTTTCAACTATGGACACTTTTCGGCTCCAAATAGAGAGCGAAATCTTTGAATGCAAAGACATTCTACCAAATAGAAGAGTAAAGTTTGTTGCCATTAAAAATAAAGAAGAGTGTTTCTTTATTGTGGGAGAATTTGAAATGTATGCATTAGCGTGAGGGAAAGAACAAGATCACGAACTAACCCAAAATGAAGATGTGATGTGAATACTTTCCTGCACACTATTAATAAAAGTCTTTTCGGATTTCACCATTTACAAAGAGAGACTTATCAATAAAAGAGTACACTGCGGAATTTGAGCAATTCATATTAAAATGTGAATTAGAGTTAGAAGATAATACCGTGGCACTGTATCTTGGAGGTTTAAGGCCTTCTATTGGAAATATAGCAAGTAGGGCTGGACCTCGTTAAACGTACAAACCTTAGCCTTGAAGGTGGAGATACAAAACAACAATATTAATAACACTCCACCCAGCCAGGAGGTCTAGCAGATAAGGCACCCCTTCCAAAGGAGCAAAGCTTATCCCACAAATGGAGAAATTAACACAGAAAGGTGAAAAGAGTGATCAGACCAACTCCCTCAAGACCTTCTTAGCTAAAAAAAAACTGCAAATATCATGGTTATAGACACATTACCTCAAATTATCCAAACTGATGAGTGATTTCCTTCACCGAGCAGAGAGCAATTGAAAAGATGGATAAGAGAAATTCAAGAGAGAGTGAAAATGATGATAAGTATCATACTCCCACTGACAATAATCTTCGGTTTGACAAGTTCTCCAAACCAAAAGCAAGAAAGAATAGCAATCATTGCGACCTCATCATTGATGGAGGTAATTATGAGATTATAATGTCTATATAGATGGTGGATAAACTTAGATACATCACCCAAAAACATTCACAATTGTATTTGGTGATTTGATTGAAGAAAAAAAAATGAGATCAATGTTGACAAGAGTTGCCTAGTAAAAATTTTTTTTTGGAGAAAAGTTACAATAGCAGGTGTGATATGATGATGTACTTATAAATGCTAATCACATTATGGTAGACCGATCATGAAAATATGATAAAGCTACACATATAACAGCCACACGAGCACATACTCATTCATCAAAAAGAAAAAATGCATTGTACTTTTGCCTTCAAAGGAGTCCGTTGTGATGATTACTCAAAAAAAAATTGGATTTATAGTAGCTTGCGCCACATTATTTTATAGGACATGAAAGAGGCGTCTGTGAGATTAGCATTCATGATGCTAGAAAGAAGTGAAACCAAGGAGTAAATACATGAGGCAACACATCCTCTGTTATAGGAGTTTTAGGATGTGTTGACTGATAATCTATCACCTCAATTACCATCACTATGAGATGTTCCACATGTCATAGATCTCATCCCATAATTGGTACTCCCCAATTGACTATTATATATAATGTGACCAGCTAAGTATGAGTAGTTAAAAAAATAGGTATAAAATATGATGATCAAGGATTGGTTCGTGAGAGTATCAATCTATGCATTATACAAAATTTTGATTGTGCCCAATAAGAACGGGTCATCATGCATATGCATTGATAGTATGGTTGTAAACAAGATCGCCATCAAGTATCGATTCACCATTTCATGATTGCATTATTTGTTGGATCAATTGCATGGAGCTAGCAGCTTTTTCAAGCTTAATCTAAGTAGTGGCTACCATTAGATTCAAATGAGGCACGAGAATGAGTAGAAGATCAACTACAAAATGTTGGATGAATTGTGTGAGTGAACAATCATGTCTTTTGGCTTGTCCAACACCCGGCTAAATTAATGCGGCAAATGAATATAGTTTTTCAAGTCTTCTTTGAGAAATTTGTGGTGGTTTGATTCAATGATATCCTGGTGACCAACCATTCTATGAAAGAGCATTTGCAGTACTTGTAATAGGTATTTTGAGTTCTTCGGACAAAGAAGTAAGAACATTTTAAAAAGTGTCATTTTTAACATTGCATACTTGTTTTCTTGTATAAATTATTTCAGCAGTGGGCATTAAGATGAACTCAATCAAGATAGGCTATTGTGAACTATTCTAGCCCACAATTTTTCACTCAGTGAAACAGCTTTATTGGCGAACTTCATTTTGAGGATATTCATCAAAATTTCAGTTCCATAGAGGCAACAATTACAAAGCTCCTCAAGGCAGGCAAATCCTCACGGTTAGATCTAGTTCGTGCCCTTCCAGATTTCACATAGGTGTTTGAATTATAGTTTTTCACCTTCAAATGTTGGAATTGAAACTATGGTGAGTCAAAGTGGGCATACAATTGCCTTATTCAGTGAGAAATTGAATGATTCCACAAAAAAATATCCCACCTATAACAAGAAGATTTGCTATATTGAGATTCCTCAACTATTAAAGTTATTACATGTTGGTGATTGAGTTCACTCTCTATACTGATCATGACGCCCTGAGATTCTTTAACAAAAGAATAAATTGTCAAGTAAAAATGCTTCTTAGATCTAGTTTCTTTCTCTCATTTTATACTCAAACACAAAGTTGAGATCCAAAAAAAAGTAGTTGATGCTTTGACCTGCCATCATCTATTGATAATCACTATACAGTAGAATATTGTTAATTTATGTATTAAAGGATATGTAAGCCAAGGATGAGAAATTTAGGAGATTAGGACCTGTTATTAGAAAAGACACTATGAGCAATGATAAGATTTCCCCAATAACAATTGAATATTATTACCTGCGAGCAGTATCACAGATCTAGTGGTTATTTGTTCTTATAGAATAAATTATGTATTCCGAAGAATTCGCTTAGGGATTATATTACGGGAGTGCCATAATAGAGGATTGCAAGCCACTTTAATAGTGATAAGGTTTTTTTCTTAATGAAAGAGAATTTCTTTTGGCTTAGATTTATATAAAATGTGGAGAGGCGTTGTTGAGAGTACAGAGTGTCATAAAACTAAGACTCGGGAGCAGAACAAGAGCCTCCATACTCTACTTTCTATCTAAGACCTACCTTGGGTGGATGAAAACATGGGCTGCATTATAATTTTGTCTCGAACATAACAAAGAAAGGATTCTATTATGGTGGTGGTGAACCTCTTCTTCAAGAAACACAATTTATATCATAAAGTGATGGACGCTTCAAATGTTACTAATTTTTATTTCAAGGAGATAGTACGAGTTCATGGCAAACCTAGGGCAAACACTTCAGATAGAGATGTTCAATTCCCAAGTCATTTTTCAAAGATCTTACGACATAAGTTAAATACAAAGTTCTAGTTCAGTTAAACAACACTCTCACACAAATGAATAGGAGGTAGTGATTCACAATTTGGAAAACCTTCTTTAATATTTTGTAACAAGAACATCAAACACTAGAACTTGATTCTTGCTCGAATTGAGTTTGTTTACAACAAATTCACTGGCAAGCCTTTGTGTGTACATTCTATTATTGAGTTCAGTAATGCAGTCAAATGAGCTTTAGAGTTAGAGAGATTCAGACCTTACATAAGCAAGGTAAAGAAAGGCTAACATGTCCAAAATGGCTATGGTTTTAAAGGAAGGGCACTTGATGTAGATCAAATTAAAGGAGAGATTTCTTGCACGCTTCAGAAGCTATGGCTTAGGGTTGATGGTCCATTCAAGACTGTTAAAAGAATCAATGATTACATATAAAATTGACTACCTAGTGGCTACAATATATCCACTACCTTCAACATTGTTGATTTGTCGTCATACAACGAGGAAGCAAATGTTTTCTCATGATAAAAGCGAACCTCTCAAACGACAAAGTGTGATTTCTACCCGAATCTAGAAGGGGCAAAGCTAGCCTAACCATTCCCTCGTTGGCCAACCCAAAAATTCAACTCTGACAGTGCTTCTATTTAGCTTATTTGGAGTAGGATTAGGGTTTATATTGTTTTCATAGCATTAATATGTTTTTTTTAAACATGTAGGCAATTTTGGGTTGATTTTATATTATTAGAAATTGTTTTCCATGATTTATCTTTTGGAGTGTTATAATTGTCTTCTCCCTCAGGTGGTGTGTCTGTAGCTTGATCAAGAGAAAGTAGTGAATCCTCTGACGTCCATATTACCCTCAAACTAGTCTTTTGTCCATCTCCTCCTCCTTGCACTCCTCCAACCAGCTACAACTGCCCTTTTCCACATCAATAAAAAGTCATTTCCAAGTTTTTCCTCCATCATCCAAATCTTATGACATCCCAATTGATCAATCATTCTACATCATCTATAAACCCTAGATCACTAGGAAAATCCCAAACCGAACAAATTACCTAACTATTTATAAAACCATAGATCAGTACTTTACATGGTAATACAATAAGATAATCCAGTTCTTACATAAAGATAAGCTGCCACGCTTTGATTGCTAGTTTTTATCCACTCCCTTCAAAAATCCATGTTTTATACAACTTAATGAGGGCAGCATTCAAGTAAAAGCTTTGCGAGTGATATACATGTTAGTGCACAAAATGAAGCCTTATAATTTGATAGAGATTATTAATCAGTTACTACAAATATCCTCAAGTTCACGTTTAGTAATGTCATATGAATAATAGTCAATGGGAGCTCCAAAATTTTTTGTATTTTTAAATAATTACAAAATATGAAAAGGAAAGATGAATTGCTTTTCAATAAACTTATAAGAAAAAGTACTTTCATTACTATCAAAAACTGACTTTTATCAAATTGCAAAAAGATGGTCCAAGCCAACCAAAATAAATTGAAAATAAAGTTTCTACTCAATTATATGATTGAAATAGTTGCATACAACACGTAAGTTAATTTCACATACAGAAGAATTTCGAAGATTTAAGAAAACTGTTAAAAAGATACCACATAAAAAAAACTTAAGCTATATAATAAAAATGTCCAGATTAGCATACCACAGCAACAATAATAACCAGATCTTTCCAGTGTGTTTCATTAGCAAGTTGAACAGCTATGCTGTCACTCCCACTCATTGCCTGAATATCATAAACATTCAAATGAAACTCTGACGGTATATTGGATCATATAAATGATTCATTATAGTAACCAGATCTTACATCTCCCATAGTCCACTTAACAAATCCACCATATAAACTGCGGCATGCACTCCCTGAACCTTGCCTGCACTTTTTTGAGTTTCAATAACAAAATACTAGGTGCTAGATAAAGCATAAACAAGAAAATCAAGGGTAACAAAAATGAATAAAAATATGTAGGAAGGATTAGAATGAAGCAATGTTGTAAATTTACTGAGACTAAAGATAACAAGGCCTCAGGTAAAATACTCATATTCAGTAAGCGCTAAATGGAGATTCAAACTTGAGGTTTCTCAAAACTAGTAAGTGGATAAAAATAATAAAGAAAATAAAGTGGTATAACTTCAAAAACAAACCTTGCAATAGCAGAAAGCTGACCGAGTTCTTCCTTGACATTCATTAGCTTTGCAAGTGAAAAAACTACAGTAGAGGGTGAATGAAATATATCAAAACACTAGAATAATAATATGATGTTGAGATTTTATCATTCCAAATCATGTAAGAAGTATGCATAGAACTTAAATCTCTTTAAAAAAAAAACATAAAATAAAGTAAAATAGAAACAAATTGATTACATTCATTTTGCACAGAAACTTCGAAAGAACTATGCAATAAAGGTAATTTCCCTCGTTATTTACACTTCAAAACAAACACAACACAATTAGCAAACATTAAAACTTTACATCAAATTTCCACCAAATAAAACAATCCCTACAAACTTAAGGATACCAAAGAGATTTAACTCAAGCGGTAAGCTTTCAGATTCTTTTTTTTTTTTTTTTTTTGAACTTTTAATTAAATATCGAGAAGCCCGCTTCGTGAAATTTAATCTGTAATTGGTTTGATGCCCTACTTTCTAATAGATTCTATCCTTAAATAAATAAATAAAGGTGAACATCGAATGCTTACCAAAGCAAGCAAAACCTGCAGCCGAAGAAGCCAATCCCGCAGCAGTTGGAAAATTATTGTACGAAGCAATATGGAAATGCAACTTATTCCAATCTTCTTGATTAATCCGAATGCCTCGCCGCTCATCCATAAAATCACCAGCTCTATTCCGAAGTTCTCTCAGACAATTCTGGTACCTCCCTCCAGACAGCGGAATCTCCTGCCACATCACAAACATAAGAACCAAACCTCACACAACTTAAGCAGCACAAACGCGTTCCACCTTTCCATTGAGCCACATACGATCCTTCTCAAAGCTAGGGCTGACAGCAACAGTCGTCGTTGCGGACAAATGATCCGGATCCAGCGTTACGCTTATACTGTCATTAATCGGCAGAATTAAGTTTTCGTCGCGCTTTCCCCAGTACTTTATAACCGCAATGTTTGTCGGAGCTCTCGCCGTCGCCATCAGAATCCATTTTTCGGACTCTCCCGCCATTGCAACGCTTGATCGCAAGAGGATCTCGAGCTTGATCGGATTTGGACGGATAAGAAAGAGAAGGAACAATGTTTTCCTCTAGGATCCTCCTCGCTTGTTTAGCAAGCTGTGTGTGTATAAATAGCCATGAATAGCCTGCGATCGCTGTAATGGAGAACGATTCCATGGACGAAAGACGACAAGTTTATCGAATTAATCTGGCTTGGTTCGGTATGAACTCGAACGATTCGGGAGGGATCTCAAGATTTACATACATACCACACAATTATACTTCCAAGTTTTACAAAGTTCCCCTTTTGATCTGGTGTATTTTTATATAAAAGTTAAAATGGTGGTAGCATAAAAGATATGTAAATAAATATGAATTGGGTGGTAGGTATGTAAATGCATCTTTTATGTGCAGGAATTTACTTAGATAACACCCAATTCTTATGTATTTACATATTTACAGTTTAATTTTAGTATATGTTTTTTTTATATATGTAATTATGGTATTATCATTCAATCTTATAAAAAAATGTCATTATTTTAGCTTATCTTGCACATGTAAGTAGCATATATATGTAAAAAATGAATTTTAGATATTACATATGTAAATTCATGGAAATTGAGAGGTATGTATGCAAAGAATCTCTTTTTTTTTAGGATACTCAATAATAAATTGAGAAAATATTACATTATGACTCAACACGTAGAGTTACGTGCGGAGTTCAATGAAATCACGTCACATGACGGTGACAGAAAGAAAAAATAAAATTTATCTGGTAACATAATAAAATATTCTCTCTGTATTATTCATGTGTTATTATGTGTTATTCAAATGTTATTGATGTGTTATTGTATTATTATAACACCGGGAATAATCCCAGAACACAATAACATATGAATAACATACAATAACACCTGAATAACACGAAATAACACAGGGGGAATATTCCCCTGTGTCACCGGATCGATTTTTTTTTTCTATCACCTAAACAATGATATACATAATAAAATAAATACATAAAATAAGGGCGTTTTATATTTTTATATGAAAAATATGAAAAGAAATAAAAAAGAGGGATATAATATTGTTTAAACAACTTCTACTAGTAATAAATATGAGCTATAAAAGGCCTCCACTCAAACGCAATAAAGATTTCAATATAATACAAGTTAAAATATTAATATGATGGAAGAATGGTTATACAATAAGTTTATGTAGTAGGATGGTTCTTAGTTAGAAGCCCAAAGCAACATGGATTAAACAATGTGAGCAAAGTTGGCTACCAAATTGGGGTGATCGCCAAAAATTGTTGGCACAATACTTTTCTTAGAGGTGAAAGAAACTCAAATTTAAGATGATATGCGTAGTGGCACTAACATGTTGAATGCTATAATGGATTGTCAAAACTTTCACCTTCTAGCAGGCATGACCTAAGGGCAATGACTTGATGGCATACAAAATTCGTGAGTTCATAGATGAAAATACAATGCAACTATAGAAAATTACATCAGAAAGATATAAAGTTCATGGAGTCCATTAAAGACGGTATTATTTTTTTTTTCCTTAGAAGCTGAGATATTACAGCCTAAAGTTGGAACTGTTATAGTATATAAAGGTCAAAAAGCAGTGAATACAGTCAAATTAACACATCTCAAATGGGGAGGTGAATGAGGAATCAAGAAGTGTTAATGTGGATTATGGCAAATGATAGCTCAAAAGATTTTTTTTTCGGAACATACTGGGCGATTGAATGACATAGGATTTAATAAGTGAGTACAAGTAGTCGGGTGTGTGTGTTATCTATTATATATATCTCTGTGTGTGTGTGTGCGTAATAAGCTGAGGTGTGAATAAAATGACTTGTTGTCAATATGTAATTAGACATGGATAATGCAAGCTCATTTTAAATTGAAAATCTATATTAGATATTTGAAGTTATCAAGAAAGCAGAGGTGATTCGAACAACTCTTCTTTGAGATAAGGATTGGACTGAAAGATCTCAGATTAAAGAGTAAATGAGGTGGACAAAGTATTCCTTCTCTTGATTAGAGAAATTGGATTAAAAACTCAAAATTTTGGTTGGTGCTTTTAATTTCTTACATTATCTATGATTCAAAAGTATAAAAATATCGCTTATATAGATAATTATGGTTTATTTATAGTTTTGATTGGGTATTGTGATATATTATAATTTACAAGAATATTCTATACTTCTGTCAATAACATGTGCATTAGATTAAAACATCCCCTAATTAAAAATTGAATACTAATTCAACCCCTAAATTGGCCTAATGGATTGCTAATGTTTGGGTAGGCAATTTGGTACACTAGTGGCTACTTGATTGCAATCATTTGATAGTGATTATTAGTGGCAATGCCTCCAATTAAAAAATCATATATATATATATATATGTTGAACCCAAATCTGTCCTTCGGGTCGTGTCAAGGGATAGAGCAGGATTCAAAATGTGGAGAAAGAGTGGGAGAGAAGGACAAAGAGTGTTGCCCCATTAGAGGACAAATAAGGGTATTCCCAGGGCTCGATTTTCTCTTTCATTCCACACAAAATAGAGATTACAATGTGCGGGTGAAGGGGATCAAGCTCTCTACATGAAAGGGAGAGAGAGAGAGCCTAAAAGGGACTCCTTTACATGTCAAGGGATCCTCTATTTATAATGAGAAAATAGGATTAAGGAGATTACATTGATGCGTTCTTATAAAGAGGGGTCACGAGGGGTACCCCCGTCTTCGCTCTTCTTGGATCAGTCTTTGCCCTGCTTGGATCGGTCCTCTTTAAGTCCATCTGTTGTTGGAATTTGTTGGTGTTGAGTAGCCGATCAAAGTCTCCCTTCTGCTCAAGGATGGCTAGTCGGAGTTGGTCGGGCGAATTGAAGTGGTCGTCTGGGCAGTCTGTCTAGTGATTGATCATGTTAAGGTGGTCGGCTTGGGTGGGCCGACCGAGTAAGGGTGGTCGGTTGAGTGAAGGTGGCCAGCTGGTTGAGAGGCTAAGTGGTCAGCTTGACTTCTCCTTAGTCTTTGACTTGTTTTAGGAGGTGATGATTCTTCCTGCTCGGCAAGGCCTATTTTTAGGCTATACATGAAGTTCCCAAGTTTTTCACTTATTGGAGGCGAGGCTGCAATAAGAATGAAAAACTCATTATCCTAAAAAGCTTTATTTCATAACCCTTAGATTTTTATCAATCTTCTTTTTATCTTTCAATGAATAAGTCCATTGGAAAAATAATCAATTGCTAGTGCTTAGATCTTTGGAGAGTATAATCAAGCTTGTCTTTTATATTTTTTGGATAGAAAGATTCCCACAACTCAAGTTTGCTCTTTACCTATATTTGTTACCCTCAAAGGAGCATTGGCTCTGGCGAGCCTTACATTGCACCAGGTTTTAAGCGGTATTGTCACTACCTTCGTGGGGGTAACCGTTGAGACTTACTAGTGGGGCAATTTGCGCCTTACCCATAAGGGATATTATCACTTCAGGGAAGGGAACCACCTCCATAGTTTTTTCAGACTTGAACTTTGGGAGTGGGTTTTTGGAGATTTTGAGGGGAGAAGAAGCTTTGTTTGCTCATCCCAAAGGATAGACTCAAGTCACTAGATAGATTTTTGATATGCTCGTCCTAGAGGAGATGCTTGGAGAGTTAGAGAGTTCTTTTTACTCGTCCTGGAGGAGAGGCTTAGAGAGAATGATCTTATTGCTATTATTATTATTATTATTATTATTATTATTATTATTATTATTATTATTATTATTATTATTATTATTATTATTATTATTATTATTATTATTATTATTATTATTATTATTATTATTATTATTATTATTATTATTATTATTTCTTCCGAAGGAGAGACGTAAGTGAGAAGAAGATGTATTTTCTAGTATTTTAATTTTGCTCTTTTATTTCTTCTTACTTTGTGTACATTCTTCTTCTCTTCGATTTATTTTTTCTCTTTCTTCCTTAATGATCAAATATTAAATGAAGAAGGGTAAGAAGATGTTTATCTCTTTCTCTAGGTTACTTTTAAGCCTTTGGAGCATGTTAGGAGTACTCTCCTTTCTTTGCTTTGGTCATTTTCCTTACTTTATGTCTCTTTAACTTTTTGCTTTTTACATTTTGTCATTTTGTCTTTAGCTTGTCATGTCTACTTATGTCTTGTCTTTTTATGTTTCCATTTCTTTTTTTATTTCGGATTTGATTTCTTATCTCTTTGTCGTTTGATTTTCTCCAGCCTAGAAGGTTTTTCGTCTTGTTGGTGGCACGTTCCACGATTACCTGCACATTTTAGGGTTTTGAAATCAATATGTCCTTCGGGTCGTGCCCAAGAGATAGAGCTTTCTGAATGTAGAGAAAAGAAGGGAGAGACAGAGAGGGTTGTGAGGGTGAAGGGACAAATAGGGGTGGTCCTCGGGCTTGACGACCCCTATCATTTCACACAAAACAAAATTTATAATGTGAGGGTGAAGGGGATCAAGCTCCATACATGAGGGAGAGAGAAGAGCTTAAAAGGGATTTATATGTTAAGGAATCCTCTATTCATAGAGAGAAAAGATGAATGAGGAGTTTATATTGATGCCCTTATTATAAAGGGGGTCACGAGAAGTACCCCGATCTTTGCCCTGCTTGGATCAATTTTTGCCTTGCTTGGATTGGTCCTCCTACAGCCTGTCCGTCGTTGAGATCCGTTGACGTTGAGTAGCCGAGCCAAGTCGCCCTTCTGCTCGGGGATGGCCAACTAGAGTAGACCGGTCGAGTGAGGGTCGTCGATCTTGTGGTCGGTCAAGTTAAGGTTCTCGGCCCGGGTGGGCCGACCAAGTGAGGGTGGCTAGCTCGAGTGAGGCTGTCGAGTGAAGGTGGATGGTCGGTTGGCCAGCTAAGTTGACGACTCAATGTCTCTGCAGGCTTTGGCTTGTTTTCGACGGTGGAGATTCTTCTTGCTCGAAAAGGCTTATTTTTTAGGCTATATATATATATATATATATATATAAACATAATTCTGGCAACTACTTTAGAGGTTTGAAAAAATATTGTAAAGAACATATGTTGAGAATGAATTTTTGGTATTTCACCTGAAATTCCATTGATACATATTAAGCTTTAATTGAATTTAATTAAAATTAAAAATCTTTTTGAGCTCTTTGTTTCATTTCATTTAATTTTGAACTATAATTACCAAAACAAAAAATTATGGTGTTGAATAAATAAAATACTTC